CTCTCTCTNTCTCTCTCTCTCTCTCTCTCTCTCTCTCTCTCTCTCTCTCTCTCTCTCTCTCTCTCTCTCTCTCTCTCTCTCTCTCTCTCTCTCTCTCGTGCCAAGTACTAACCTGTGAAGATGGCGCTGTGTTGCAGGTACCTCGAAGACGAAGCTGGAGCAACGACACTGCAGGTAAGTCTCCCTGGCCTCCGCCCAATCTCTCTCTCTCTCTCTAGTACTGCTGTAGCTCCTATGGCGCCCAGCGCTGAAGACTACTGCTAGCGCTACAACTGCTACTGCAGCGCTCCTCCAGAGTGCTGCTAGCGAATCCTGAAGACTACCTCCTCCCTCCTAAACTGCACGTGAAGTGCCTGGGAAGTACCTACGAACTACCTTCAGCCTGCAGGGCGGGCCAGTCCTATATGGTGCTGGCCCGTCTAGGAGGCTGCTCTTGCCAATGCCAAAACGTGCCAGACCCTGGGGTTGAAGCTCAAACGAAGGTTATCTTGAAAATAGGCCAAAAATGGACTGAGCTAAAACCCTGGTCTGGTGCCTGAGTTTCAGGGCAGGTCGATCTTATAAGGGCCTGAAAATGGCCCTCAGTTTCAGGCTGAAAAGACTCAAGGCCGGAAAGGCCCTAATTTAGGCTGAAACGACACAGGGCCTGTAGGCCTTTGTTTTCAGGCTTTCAGGCTGAAACAACACAGGGCCTGTAGGACCTTGTTTTTAGGCTTTCGGGCTGAAAACGACACGGGCCTGAAAATGGCCCGTGCAGCCTGTTGCAGGCGCAGCATGTAACACCGAAGGTGTGCACGGCCCACCCCTGTGCCCCAAGTCAATGCTGAGGTGGCCAGCCCTGCACTATTTTTATCCTCACATGCAGCGAGCCTTACACCGACTGATTGGCTGATCAAGAGGCAGTTTAAGGACAGCCCCCAAGGCCCTTAAGAATTATTGAACGTCGCAGACAGGACGACGATCACAGCCAATGAAAGGTAACCCGCCGATATTTATTTAAGGACGTTCGGTTCTCGTCTCCCTTGTAGGGCTGGCCTGCCCCTCATGACCTATCTATAGGCAACAGGCAGACAAAGGACAAAGCAACAAAGCATGCGTGCTCTACTCCCCGTGGGTTGGCATGGTGACCGTGACCCAGTGCTTCGTCCAGGGCCCTTCAGATGGCAACGCCCTCTCCTTCCAAATGCTCCACGTGAACAATGTCGATTCTCAATGTTGAGCGCACTCGACTCCTCACATGAAACGACTCTCAAGACAGAACACACATCCTCACGGTAAGAAGTGTCGAAGAGGGTAGATAAGGTTAAGAGCAACGTAACTCAAAATAACTGCCCCCAACCACAAATATTCCCACCAGATGACTTGACGTCGATCGCGATGACCAATCATTGCCTTGGCACAACCAGCATTACATCGCCCTTCCACCTCAACATCAATCGCGCGTCAGATAGTTCTCATCACACTGCGAAACACCCAATATCACAACACAACCTTCTTGGCGATACCCCTCTCCGCCTGGGTCGCCTGCTTGCCTTCGCCCTCCTCACTGCACGCTACCCACGGTTGCTCACCCAGCTAGCCGCGTGCATGCACTGCATAAGCAGAAGACAAGCGCCAGATGAGCGCAATGTACCACAACTCCGATACCAAAATGCAAGGAAAATGAGCGGTAGTGAAATTCAGAAACCAAGCCGCATCATACACATGAAACCAGATAGTCTTGACCTCGAACCAAAAGCAGCATTGCAACTCGAGTTACACCAAATAAGAGCACAGCAGAGCTCACAAATGACAATGTGCGAATAGTCTCCTCCTCATCATCAATGAACCAATGTCGTTTCCCTATCTGGCGCTCAGTGCCCAGACTACAGATGGCAGATGCTATCTAGCCTATCTACAATGATGCTGGTGACGTCAACAGCTTTCCGAAGTACGAGCAGATCTCGGCCAATGCCGTTCGCATCAAGCACCAGGTATGTCCCTGGCTTCACTCACAACCTCGATCCTCCACACAGATGCCACATGCACCCGAAGACCACCATGCGCCCCATCCAGCATTGCGCAGGCCAGCCCGGCTATGGCTGCCTGCGTCCACCCTGCTCGCCCGTGAGCGTGTAGGCACTCGCTCTAGCAGCTGACGCAGCAGCGCTTGCGCATAAGCAGCAAGTGCCCAAATGTCTGGCCAGCGGCCAGGCCCTTTCGTTTATGGAAAGTGGCTGGCAATCATCGGCTGCCTGACTGGTCTCGGCAGTTCCCCGGAAGCTTCCGGTAGGCCCCAAGTGGCTAAGCCCCAGTCTCCAGGAATCTTCCCCAGGGCCTGCGAGCTTACCTGTGTCCAACTGTCAGGCGGTTGTGTTCAGTTTATGCCCCATGTCTGGCCCAGGGCCTGGCTCTGATACCTTCGGAAAAGGCCTGGAGGCCCGAGATATTGGTAGGCACGGCCTGGGCGCACTCAACCAACTGACGCTGCATAACTGCCTGAATTTTCTCCCAGTTGCGTCAAACACAAAATAGACCTCTCGTCACTTGTCAGGCCCGCCTTCACTTTGGGCGGCCGTACTTGCTGAAACAGGGCCCAGAAAAGGCTTACCAAGGCCTTGAGCCTCACATAAATTTTCACAAAGAATTTGGACCATACCAACGGACCTAGCTCAGTTGGTACACCGGGTACACTGATGAACTGTTCAAATTTAGACACAAGTGAAACGGTTTTCACCTATTAGCAGTAGCGAATGCAGATCCCAAGGCTCGATCCCCAGTCCTCACCTTACCTGTGTACAGTACCTGTGTCGACCCTGAGAGTTGAACCCGTGACCTGGGTGTCTTTGCAGAAGTGGTAGTCGTAGGGGCTGTAGGTGTAGGGGTTCGATCTGTAGATCTGTCGAGTAGAAGTCTTAGGGAGTTCTAGAAGTCGTAGCTGTAGAACTTCCAAAGGGTTAAGCTCGTAGCTGCTACAGTCCGGAAAGGTCAAGGTCATAGCTGCTACAGCCTTCGAAAGGCAAGGACCGGACTTCTGGAAGGTCCTAGTAGCGGCCTTTCGAAGCTGCTCATGTTTAGGCTGAGGCAAGTGGGCAAGTGGTGGAGTCTACCCGTGCTGAGTCAGCAGTCCCAGTCCCAGTCAGTCCTAGTCCAGTCAAGCAAGTACCGCATGGGACTGTGTGCACCACGGGCATGGGAAAGGGCCAGACCAGCGAGCTACAGAAGTATAAATCAAAGGGCAGCGTCCAGCCATTCATTCATTCCTGCGTAAGCCATGCGGAAGCGCTGCCACAGCGACTTGTGCGAGGTGGTCTGCAGTAAGCCCGAAGACGAAGTGGGCGAGAAGGAGCTTAGCCATAGCGATAGGTTAGCAGCGGCCATAGCCGCCATAGCTGTAGGTAGAGTGTAGCGTGTGTGTGTGTGTGTATGTGTGTACAGGGTATCGCATGTGGGATATCCAGGGTGATCCTGTGTGTACGATCAGAGAGTTGTGTGGGCGTTGTGTCGCCATAGCCATTGAAGTGAACTTGCACCTGAACTCCGTTCTTGGCTACCATATCTCTGAGTTTCGAGTGGGCGCTTGTCGCCAGTTTGCTGCGCACCTGTTTGCATGCATGCGAAGTGTGAATGAGAGCGCATTGGTATCAGAGCTGGTACCCGCTATTCCACGCGCATCCGTCGTGTGCCGCAGGGAGAGCTACACGCCATAGCCCAAGTCGCCATCGAAGAAGAAGTCCGCCATAGCGGATCCGGAGGTTGAAGAAGCCGCCGCGCGCACCTGCAAAGAAGACCACGACGAAGAAGGAGAGAGAGAGAGAGAGAGAGAGAGAGAGAGAGAG